CTAAAATATGAGATATTACATGGTAGACAATACTAGAAAAAAAAAATCAGAAAACTTTCTCCTTGATGGGGAAGTTACATTTTTACAATGTTCTTGAAGGCCATCCACAAAGTGACTTGAAAGCTGCTCAGTAGATGCCATGTGTGATAGAAGACAACTTACTATTCTAAAGCAACTCTACCTCTAAAGCTTCTCTGATGTAAATAAACCGTCTTTAGTTTTCTGTTTCAAGCTTGCTTTACAGCTTGACTCACTGGGACGTCAGCACTAGACAGTCAGATTTAGCAATTCTATCATAGTTTTCTTCAACTTACAATGCAGTGAGCTTTGCTTAGGTGCAGAAGAGGAAACTATTTCCTTCCAAAGTCTAATTTTTATAACCAAAATCTCAATTTTTCTCATTCATGAAAATTGATTTCAAGTGCCACCACTAAATTGTCATGTAACAGTTTTGGGGGTGGGTTCTTAAAAAAAATTGGAGAAACTACCTATTTGATTCATATTCTAAGCTGATGTGGCTCTAAACCAAAAGAAATTTAGGAATCAACCATTTTCAGATTAAAGGTTAAAAATCAAATATTGTCCACAGTATTACAAAATAATTTGTATTGCTTTCTGAATAATAGTAATTGATAGAGACCCTAGAATTGGATTATTCTCTAAAGTAAGCTATATCTTAAGAGATCTTTTTAACTTATCGGATCACTTGCTTTAAGAACAATTAATACTGAAAAATAAAGGGGAAGATATTATTTTCCTACTTCGAGTCAGTAACTGTTGATAGCACAGCAATCTGATTTTTATTTACAATAGCAACCACAAATAGAATGAGCTAACATTTACTGAGTGCTCACTACAATGCCAAGCAAATATTAACTCATTCTGTCTTGACAACAGTGAGTAGCAGATAGTGTCATTGTCTATTCCATTTTGCAGATGAGAAAAGCTAGGCACAAAGAAGTTAAGGAATCGTCAAAGTGGTGGAACAGGGCTTTTAACCCAGCCTGAGCTCTATTTGCATGCATCACATCTTAAATAAATTTATCCTAAATATTAGATTACTTTCTAGGCTTCCCACAGATACAATCTGAAAATTCAGACTAATAATAGCAACCGAAAGGCATTTCAGATATTTTATATTTTAAAGGAGGCACTATGGAATAAGTGATTTTGGTCTCCATACTACCTATGTAGACATAGTCTTTGGAGCCTGACCAGGGAGATCCTCAAGACAAATTGTCAATTTTCCTAAAGGTATGGAATCAGGATCCTTAAGAAGAAGTGCTTTCCATAAAAAAGCTATTCCTGAATGATTTGTCATTTACAAACATATCATAATCCTTCCCCTCACCCTTACAATAATTTCTCAATTCAGTTTGGGTTTCCCTGACAGTCAAAAGGTCCACAGTCAAGGCATGTAGGGAGAATTTCCTCCACACAAGGAATTCTTAATCCACTAGATTCTCCAAATGACATATGCCTCATATGTACAGGCATCACCCTTCCATGAACTTTACTATGATGCTGCTAGGCCATGAGAATACCACTGGAGTGATGGAACTTGTCAGCTGAGAGAAACCTTAGAAATTTCCTTATCTGTTTTACAGATAAGAAAAGTAAAATCCAGAGGAATTAACAGCCAGATAGCTCCTCAGTGGCAGAACGGGGATCAGACCTCTCATCTTCTGAATCCCAGTGCCCTTTGCCTTGTAACAAAACACCACTCTGAGACATTCATATTGACCCAAAGATTTTCCCTAGTTGATTTGTGGGAAAAAAAAAGAAATTAATACATTCTACAACAGTTCATACAAAGAAGCAATACACATATTGTTGATGTATTATAATTTGTTTCCATTGCTAAGAACTTTTCTCACTAAGAATTCGCAGAAACTTCATGTTCTACAAAAACTTTCATTGGAATTGGATGTGATAAGATAGAATTACTCTCAGTCATACTATTAAAGTAGCCTCTAATATGCTTAATTTACTTCTGGGAATTAAATGTTAGTAATATTTGTTGAGCATTTACTACATGCTAAGGTATTAGAATAAAAAGTAAAATTACTCAGAGAGTAATTGGCTAATTTTAAGTTGTTTTCTCACTTGGTCTTGCAATTATAAAACAAAATACATTTTAAAAATTAAGATGAGATATTAACTTAAAAAATCTCATTATGGCCAAATGTTAAAATATATATGTGCAGTCAGTAACACACTATAGGACTTTAGAGGCCACAAATTTCAGTATCCATTTTTACAGGATAACATTTTTCCTCCCAAGGAAAATGCAGAGCACATAAAATTTTGTCCCACTGGACATATGTATGAATTTTATCAGGATTTTCATACAATGGCTGCTGGTGGTTCTGAGATTTAGTAGTTCAAGGAGATTAGGCATTCTACATAATGAAATTATTTGAAAAAAAAAAAGTCAAATTATATTCCCAGGCAAACACAAAGGCTTCCCCTGCCCAAGAAAATATTTTAGGTACACAATACGGAAGACAATTATATTCTCAGTAGGAACAGATTGTAAGTGAGGTGTCTATCTTGATAAGTACATACAGGTCAAGAAGTCTCAGCAATTTGAAAGCAGAATGACTTACATTAATTTTTTTAATACATATAAGAAGATCCATAAACTGGAAACTCAGCATCCTGGGGGGTGAAAAATCATAAAACACTAAGAAAGGAGTTAAACTAAAATACAGGCACAGACAAATATTTAAAATATTCAAATATGAAATAAAGTTTAATTTATAGCATTATTTTTCAGAACTCATTTCTAAAATTGATTTAATATAAAATTATTATCTTTACTTAAATTTCTTGGCAAAGCTCAATAACAAAATAATAAATCATACTAGTACTTGCATTTTATCAAGACAAACCAGTCACTACTTAACATTAAGCTTGCAAATATCACCCCTACTTATGACCTATATTTGTCTCTGTACAGAAAAAGATGGAGAGAGCTAGTTCACGAAACTAAGATTGTCTTAATCTGATACTAATAATACAAATACATTTTTTATGTAAAACCACACTAATACTTGAAAGCTTTATTAAATAAAACAATTTCTGGGAATACAGACAATACTAATTTCCTCAGAACACAAATTTATAGTTTTTCAAAGCTGATCATCACAGATCAAGTAGGCTTGTCCTATTAACTCAATATCTACCATTCAATATCTACCCATCATCAAAATACTCAAGTGAAAAGCAACATTCGGTCAATTAACTTACATATTTTGCCTACATGTTACCAAATACTTATGTCTTTAATAACACCTGAGTACCGATGTGGAAAATTATTACATTCTTTCTTCCTTCACAAATTTTCATAGATATCATCAAGATTTCCTTTGCCTTTCTGGATAGATGTATGAGAACAGAGCGGAACAGAGCAACAGCTCTGTTGTCTCTATCAGATCAGCTTTTCTAGCAAATATTTAAAAAGCAAAGTTATAGTGCAAGTCTTTTGTCTTGGAAGAAGGCACTATAATCTAATTATGGAGGAAACAACATGATAATAACCTGTTTACAGTAGCATAGCCACTTGATATCTATTTCTCAATTATCAGATATTTACTGAAGCCCTCTGCAAGGCTTTGCCCTTCTTCAAAGAGATCCAATCCAATTAGAGAGATGAGAAATCGACCTATAAAATTTTAACTGGCAATATTAAAACTCATGCCTGTCCACATATCAGTGAGACAACAGGAGCACTGAAAGTAACAGGTTACAGAAATTTAGAGCCAAGAGCCGTCCTTACGGACCTGGGTGGTACCAAAGGACAATACAAGACATGTGGTTTTGAGACTGGACTCAATAGATGGTAGGATTTTAGTCATAAAATAGCTGCTTTAATAGTCATGCCCTATGCACCTTCACAAAAGTAGTTTAAAAACATTAAATCCTAGCCTGGATGTTCTGCCTTCCATAACTGGAAGACACAAATAATACCAAGACATAAATAATACCAATTCTTTTTTTTTTTTTTTTTTTTTGGGGGGGGGTTTTTCTTTTGGGCCCCGGCAGGGGTGGGGTGGGCGGTCCCACCTCACTGCAAGCTCCGCCCCCGGGTTCCCGCCATTCTCCTGTCTCAGCCTCCCGAGTAGCTGGGACTACAGGCGCCCGCCACCTCGCCCGGCTAGTTTTTTGTATTTTTTTAGTAGAGACGGGGTTTCACCGTGTTAGCCAGGATGGTCTCGATCTCCTGACCTCGTGATCCGCCCGTCTCGGCCTCCCAAAGTGCTGGGATTACAGGCTTGAGCCACCGCGCCCGGCCCCAATTCTTAAATTAATTAATGCTTTTATTTATTTCTGCATTGGAACCAATAACTCTAGAAGCATATTTTGAGGTAAAGGCATCATGAAAACACATACACGCCCATACATATGAACTTTAGATACAATAGGAAGCAGCTTGGACTTTTCTCCATAAGCCAAAACCGCCAGATATCCCTCTTTCCTTTTCTGAGGAACTACACATATAAAAATAGCAAATATATCCACTCCTTTTCAGAGATAATGGCTCACACTTAAAACACACCCCAAAGAATCTATCATGAAAGACTAATGCAACCAGTTCATATCTGTAAATATAAATTGAGGAGAATGGAATCCTCAAGTGAGAAATTATTTCTTTAGTGTTATCTTCTAGGCTCAGGCACCAGCTTTACGTAATCGTTTGGATTGCTGAAGTCCTTATTTGTATTTTTGTGTGTGTGTAAGAACACTCTACCTTATTTTAAAAGTAAATGTGTAGCTTTGGTAGGGAAGTAGCTATATATTTAATGTCCATTCAATGTTTTGGGAATCATCAATTGCTTGCTCTTGTTTGATGTGGAAGTCATGTTTTGTTTAAGTGCATCACAGCCAAGTTAAGGAGCAGATGTGTGGTTTGTGTCTTTATCCATATATTTTTCTGTTTAGACCAAATGACATTATAGCTGAAAATAACATACCCTGATTTTTCCTGATGCATGCAGATCCTCCAAAGTTTAATAGGATATGGCCGAATATTTCTTCCCTTGAGGTTTCTAACCCAAAACAAGGTAGGAGCATGTAAAATTCCTACTGATATAAAATCCCACGTTTGGGGGAAAATCCTATATACCATTTTTAGCACAAAAAAAGAGCATTATCATGAACGCTATGTCTTTGAAAGAATCATAATTCAATCTTTTTTCTAATATGAAGAGTGTCCCAAAAATATTAGAGTGAAAGATGAAGGGGAAAATTAAATGGCATGGAAGTTAAAAAACCCTTTACCAGATTACACTGAAGGTCAGTCAGTCCCAAGAGGAGTCTAGATTTCTGTTGCCACCACAGTGTGGAGTACAAACAAGACTTAAAAATGTGTGAGTGGCACAGGCATCCTCTCAATGTCTTCCTCTTACTTTTAAGTCAACCAACTGGTACCTCAGTTGTACTGAGGATCTGAGAAAATATATAGAGGTAGCACTGTGACACTTGACAGATCTGTTTTCTCTGACTATTGCTCCATACTGACTTGCAAAAATTTGGAGCAATCTCTCTGTCTCTTTCCCTCCCTCTGTTTTCCTCTCTTCCTCCCTCCCTTTAGCCTCTCTCACACACTCTTTCTCACTCTCTGTCTCCTCTCTCCCTCTCCCCCCTACCTCCTCCCTCCTCTCTCTCTCTCTCTTTGTCTGTTTTTCACATCACAGTAAATTTTCCTTCTTGGAACTTTTCCTTTTATCTTCTTTATCAATTAACATTCATGTGTTCCAGCATTTAGAGCAATCTGTTCCCTGTCTGTCCTTAGAGCAGTAATTATTTTCTAACTCCTAATGTCAAAGAAGAAAAAGAAAATAAAAAGAAAAAGGAAAACAACACTGATAGACAGAAATGTGATTACGCAGGAAGAGAACTTTTAAAGGCTGAGCAATAAACTTCATAAGCTTCAGTGTAATGTTAAATTAATATTAACATCTAGCCTATAGATATGTATAAATAGGAATTTATTTTAACGTAAGATTGTATTATTTTGCCTTCTTCCTTCTTCTTCAAAAAAGGCACATCTTTGGCTTCCACCTTCCTTAGTTATATACAGGATGTTCCTTTAAAGCTCTAATGAATACAGATGGAAGAGGAAATGAGCAAAAGGAGGAACCAGGAAATAGCTGCTAAGCAAAACAAAATATATTAGCAATTTGTTGAGGAGTCAAATTGGAAGGGCTGCCTTTTCAGTCCTTGATCAGAGTGATGAAATCTAGACTGTCCTAGATACATATATTACTAGCAAATAGAATTATCTTAATCATCTGCTCCAAATGAATTTTTTCAAGTTTCTGCATACATATGTGAAAGAAGAAATACAGATCAAGCTCGCCCTATTAGTATAATGCTGTGAGGATTCGGAGGAGGTTTAGTGGCTTTATTCCCTGGCAAGTTCAATGACAGCATCTTCAGTGAAATGTCACTCAGTATTTCCTGTTGAATTTCATAGTTCACAAATTATACAACACAGGCTCTAAGACAACACTTCTCCACAGTGAGTTTTGAGCTGAACAAGATTATGCATTGTTCAAAACCTGAAATAGGCCCATTTAATTATTTTGCTGTGTTGTCTGTGAGAGTCACAGGACAAAACACTTTCAGAAATATTGTTACGTGATACCAGTCGCACTTTCTTAGAATGTGGATAATGAGTTCAAATGAATCTACTGAGAAGCGGCCCAGTTGAGCAAAGTGCTTAAATTTTGAAATTTTAGCGAAAGGTGCACTTGGTAGCAGAGGCCAGTTCTATGCAGCCATAATTTATCTTGTCAGCATCTGCAAAGAACATCAGGCTCTATCCTGTTTTGGCTATTTTCACAAGCAACTCTTCATGAATAATTGGAAAATAAATGGCAGGCAAACACAGAGAGAAATCCCTGCCGTTAACAAGCTGATATCATCAAAAAGGTAATAAATGCTGAGAAGACAACTTTTAAAGGTACACATGTTCAAGGTGACTCGGAGATAGGCCCAAATGCTGCTGAATGGCTGACTATTGGGACTATGTTCTAGGATGCCTAATCAGTTCAACAAGAATAGTCTGAATGGTGTATATGTCGACTAGTTTATCATGACACAGAATGTCATGGTGAACTGAGGCAATGATAATGTCAACTGACAACACAACTACTATTTTCAAAGATTGACAGTGGGGGATCCTACTATCCATATTGTTATGGGAACAATCCTTGCTTCACTGGATTCTTGATTTAAATGGTAATGATTTTGCCCTCTGAAAAGAAAACTTCTAAACTGTATTACTGACAATGTTGAACCATTTGCAGCCAAATACAAGCCTTACTTTGTGATTGAAATAAACTCCCAGAAACAACAGATACAAATAGTCTGTTAATTTAGGGCTACTTTTCAAGTGGGTTGGTGATAAGTTATTACAGTTTGAACGTTTCACTATTGTTTCTAATTTGCTGTTCATTCTTTTAAACCTATCCAGTTGCTCCCAAATTAGCTTTGTCAACAGTTTCTTCTGTTCAAGTTGCAAACCACAAGAGAGGTAGGAATTCTTGGATTCATACAGTGATTTCATGGTGTTATGTGTTGTGAAACATTGCACTGTATGAATCTGGAATATCTGTGAAGTGTACCCATCAGCTTATCGGTGAGGCATGTTGACTGATATCAATCAATGCATCAAATAGTACTGAGAATCATCTGTAAGAAAAAAAAATGCTTCACTCAGAAACTTGACTGCAATTAAAAATGCTACATTTGTTTTCTGAAAGATTAATGTGTGAATAAGAATTACAATGGTTGAGGTTCCTGTTCAGATCATGAATGTTAGAGCACCATCATGGATACTCATTTGCACTGAAAATAAGGAAACCCACTTATAGTGAGTTTCAAGGATGCTTTTCATGAGACCAGAATGGCAGGTTCCATGTATGGTGCCCATTTCGCTTTATGACCAATGAAACATCTTGGAATTTATGCTTCCAAAAAACTGTTTTGAATAACTTTGAAAAACACAAGTGAAGATCTGCATTGGATTAAGTGTTGCTTATGATCCAAAAATAGTAGCTATATTACTTTCTTTAAATGAAAGTGAGCAGCATCTCATCTGTGACTCATGAATGGCCCATTCCAGCTAGCATCTGTCATTCACAGAATGAAGATTTTTCAGGAAACATAAAGACTTCTGTTTTTATTTCACCATTTTTTTCTTTAAATGTCCTGTGTAACAGGTGTGTCTTGTTTTCCACCCTTGACTGTTGGGCATATGTCACATTTTGGTTTTGTTTTTTGTTTTTTCATAAAACACCTCTTACAAAGAAATACATTTATTAATAAAATCTGAACTTAGTTTGACCCATTTGGTGAAAATGACCATAATGTTTTCCTATTCCTTATTGAATTTAGTCATTTCCCAGATTTTAATCAATGTTGAATTTGTCCTTCTGTGGCATATAGAGAAAAAGTGGAAACTGGTCAGGAAATGGGAAAAGGGAAACCAAGAGTATTTAAACCATATGTCAAAATTTTCTCAAATGTGCTGTTAACCGTGGAACATAGAAGATGCCAATTTGGGTTGAGGGGGACCCAATTGGTTTGAAATTTTGGGAAATAAGTCCTGTATGAGAAGAGCAGATGCAGGCTCAGAGGGTAACAGATCAATTTGGGTATGTGGTGTGTCATATAGGCAGTCACTGAAGCCACCATAGGGATGCCATATGGAAAGAAACAAAGGAGGTGAAGGAGAAAGGAAGGAAAAAGCATGTGTAAAGTTCATCTCTTTTCTGTCATGTCAAGCGTGCTGGATATACAAGAGGCCTCTGAACCTGGAATTTGACCCTGCCATCTCTAGTTTCTTGAGGACACAGCACCAATGAGGTCCAGACACATTCCTGGAGGCAGGGAGAAGTTACCCAATGAGGTAGACTTACCATAGACAAATTGACATCATCGTCAAATGATATGTGTGGAAGAGCTTCAACAGCTACGTACGGATGCAAGACAGGGTTGTGGGTGGGGAAAAGACAAAGAAAAAGCTAGAGCCTCTTAATTCCCAGAATCACTCCATTTAATGCAGTGAAGGGAAAATTCTTTTTAGAGTTCCAATTCCTTCACCTTTAAGGTCTTTTTCTCAAATTCTTTCTTTTTGAATGTCTAAAGTTAATTTTAATCAGGTCTGGATTTGAATTAGCTTTCCTCATTTGTCCAAAAAGAAAAACAAAACAAAAAACAAAAACTACCTGTTCTAATTGTGCCACGTTCATTGTATTTTATGTTATATTTACAGAGATAATTTACTAATGTAATTATAGGCAACATGGGGAACCCCTCCTCTTAGTAACATTCTTTTTCTTTCATTCTCTGTATCCAACCTCTTGATTTCCTGGAAATCTTATCCGCCCACGTCTTCCCCAGCCAGTGTCAGTCAGAAGGAACTTTTTAAACTTTAGAGGAGAGTTGGTCCTTTCCTTATCTAGAAAGTCAACTTTGAACCCTTCCCCTTGTAAAACACCTCTAGCTTTCATTGCTCTGGCTAGGTACTAAGTACTTTATCACAACTGCCTTCTATATTGCAATATATCATATATATTACACATATATAGTATTTTTTCTATCTTCCCACTAGAACAATAGTGCTCAATGGGGATGTGGTGGATTTTGCCCTCCAGGGGACATTTGGCAATGTCTGGAGACATTTTTGTTTGTCACAGTTTGGTGGGTGCTACCACATCTAGTCATCTAGTCCGTAGAGGGCCCAGGGATGCATCTGAAAAGCCTACAATGCACAGGACAGCTCCATACAACAAAGTTGTTTGGCCCAAAATGGCAATAGTGCCAAGACTGAGAAACCCCACACTAGACTCTGAAGACCTGGACCTCATTCCCTTTGTCTTCTGGTACATGATGGCTGTACATGGTACAGGGTAGTTCTCAATAAATATGTGTTGCCAATGGTTGCCATGCCACATTGTGTATACGTAAAGCTAAAGACCCCCTTTAGCTTTGCTTATACAACAGTAATAAAACTCATCTGAAATGCGATTTGATATTAAAAACTATATAAAACCACAGCAATTTTCAGAAACCTGCTTTTTCTCTGCCTAAGCTGATCTGTTAATAGACATGTAGTCGACTCTCAGCTAAAATAATCACTAACTCAGCTGTAGCTTGTTCTGTGGCTACTGTTTTTCTAAACTCCTTAATATATAGGATATAGCCAGATTCTCCTCAGGAATTCAAATGATGAAGGAATGAATTTAAACATAACTTTTCTCCATATCTTCCTCTATTCCCCCAAAGGAAGGGGTCTCAGGATCATCATTCATTCATTCATTTGACAATGTTTTTTCAGTGCTTAGTGTATGCCAGGCAATATTTTAAGTCCTGTAGTTATAATTGTACACAAAACAGACACAGTCTGCCCTTGAATATTTACTCTCAACTAGAGGGGGAGAAGTTATTTTTGCATATACTTTTTGAATATTATAAATTCTATGAAAAAATATAAATAAGATTAGGAAATTGAGGGATTAGGGTATGTGGGTAGGGGCTATTATCTCAGATTAAATTTTCAGAGAATTTTCTTTGAGAAGATATTTTAAAAAGAAGTGGGGAAGCAAATAATGGAGATGTCTGGGGGTATTCCAGACCAGCGAGTGCAAAGGCCCTGGGAAGTGCTTGGTGTGTTCGAAGAGCAACATGGAGGCACTGTGCCATTAATTCGGAGGAGAGTGCTAGCAATGAGCCCCCAGGGAGGACAGGGGCTAGGTCACTAGAGAATTAATGAACTCCTCCTTTATTCTGAATAAGATGTGAAGCCATTAGGATGATGAGCAGAGAGATGTCATGACCTCACTAAAGTTTTGAAAGAGTCAGTCTGTCTGCTGTGTGGAGATGACATTATCACACGGGTTGAGGCCAGAAGAACAGTTTGGGGATGATGGCAATAATCCAAGAAAGGGCTGATGATGCATCTAAGGAAAAGGTGGTAGAGATGGTGAGAGGTGTAAGCTAAGCAGTTGGAGGAATGGAGTAGTCATTTACTGAGATAGAACATCCTGGGTGAGTAGCAAGTTTAGCAAGGCAACTAAAGAGCTCAGCTTTGAACAAGTTAAAGTTGAAATGTTTATAAAACATCCAAGTGAAAATTCTAGGAAGGCAGTGGCACACAATGGATGATGCTGAAGGGAGTCTCGCTAATTAACTGGGGAGTCAGTCCACCCTGGAAATAACTATTTTGGAATGGCCCACATATAGACTATGGGGTTGGGTAAAAATCATCTAAGGTGAATGTAGGAAACAAAGAGGTCCAAGGATTAAACCTTGAGACATTTGAGGAGATGAGGACAAAAAGCAAAAGAGAGAAAACAGCAATAATGGGTTGGGAAGGAGGAGAACCTAGAGCGTGTGGTGTCCCAGAACCCCCTGCTTCAGGAAGGATTACCAGGCAGTTCTGGGGACCCCATTGAGGTTTATGGTCATGAACTTTAAATGAGACTTGTTTCTAAATGGTTGGAGAAAAACTAGCCACATTTAGCTACTGGGATATGAGCATGAAGAGATGAAAAGTTGAATTTAAAAAAATTAGATTCAGGGGGTACATGTGCTTGTGTGTTTCATGGATATTACATGCATAATGGCTGGGGATTGGGCTTCTAGTATGCTTATCACCTAAATATTGGACGTTGTACCCAGTAGGGAATTTTTCAACCTTCAAACATCCACCATTTTAGAGTGTTCATGGTCTATTTTCTCCATCTTTATGTCCATGTGTACCCTTCCTTTAACCCCCACTTATAAATAAGAACATGCAATATTTGATTTTCTGCTTCTCTGTTAGTTAACTTAGGATAATGGCCTACAACTCCATCCATGTTGCTGCAAATGACATGATTTAATTCTTTTTTTATGTCTGCATAGTATTTCATGGTGTATACACACATTTTCTTTATTTAATCAACCATTGGTGGAGACTTAGGGTGGTTTCATGACTTTGCTATCATACATAGTGATGCAATAAACATATGACTGTAGTTGTCTTTTTTATATAATGATTTATGTTCCTTTGGGTAGATACCCCGTAGCAGAATTGCTGGGTCAAATGGCAGTTCTCTGAGATATCTCCATACTGTTTTCCATGGAGCTTGATCTTATTTACATTCCCACCAATAGTATATGAGTATTCTTTTTTCTCTACATCCATGCCAACATCTCTCGCTTTTTGACTTTTTAATTACAGTCATTTTGACTGGTGTAAGATGGCACCTTAGTGAGATTTTACTTTACATTTCTCTGAATATTAGTAATACTGAGAATTTTTTTCATGTATTTGTTGGCTACTTGTACATCTTCTCTTGAGAAATGTCTGTTCATGCCTTTTCCCAATTTTTAATGGGGTGGTTTGTTGTATTCTTGTTGAGTTATTTGAGTTCCTTGTAGATTTTAAACATTAGTCTTTAGAGGCGTAATTTCTAAATACTTCTCCCATTATGTAGGTTGTCTATTTATTCTGTTGATTATTTATTTTGCTGCGCAGAAGCTCTTTAGTTTAAGTCTCATTTTTTTTTTAATTTTTGTTTTTGTTGTATTTGCTTTTTGGTCTTCATTATAAATTCTTTGCCTAGGCTGATGTGCAAAAGAGTTTTTCCCTGGTTTTCTTCCAGGAGTTTTATGGTTTCAGGTCTTACATGTAGGTCCTTAATCCATCTTGAGTTAATATTTATATGGGGTGAGATAGAGGTTCAGTTTCATTCTTCTGCATATTGCTAGCCAGTTTTCTCAGCACTGTTTATTGAATAGGGTGTTTTGCCCCATTGTTTAGTTGTGTCCACTTTGGAAAGTCAGATGGTTGTGAGTATCTGGCTTTATTATTATTATTCTCTTCCATTGATCTGTATGTCTATTTTTGTACCAGTACCATGCTGTTTTAGTTACTATAGCCTTGTAGTATAATTTGAAGTCAGGCAATGTGATTGCCTCTGGATTTGTTCCTTTTGCTTAGAAATGCTTTGGCCTTGGCTATTTGGGCTTTTTGGGGGCAGGGTTCCATATGAACTTCAGGATTGGTTTTTCTGATTCTGTGAAAAATGACATTGGAAATTTGATAGGAGTTGCATTGAATTTTAGATTGCTTTGGTCAATGGGTGATTTTAACAATATTAATTCTTTCAACCCATGAGCATGGAAAATTTTTTCATTTATTTGTGTTGTCTACAATTTATCCCATCAGTGTTTTATAGTTCTCCTTGTAGAGATCTTTAACCTCCTCCGTTAGCTGTATTCCTAGGTATTTTATTTTATTTTGGGGGCTATGTAAATGGGATTGAGTTCTTAATTCGGTTTGCAGCTTGAATGTTATTGGTGTATAGAAATGCTACTGATTTTTGTACATTGATTTTGTATCCTGAAACTTTGTTGAAGTTGGCAATCAGTCTAGGATTCTCCTACAGGAATCTTTAGGGTTTTCTACGTATATGTTCATGTCATCAGTAAAGAGAGATAATTTGATTTCCTCTTTTCCAATTTGAATGCCTTTTATTTCCTTCTCTTGCCCGGTAGCTCTGGCTAGGACTTCCTGGAGAGTTGAATTTAACCAGCATCAACTTTTAACCGGGATCAAGATTTCCTTATAATTGGAGGGTGGAAGGCCAAGGGATTATATAAAAGGAAGTGATTATAAGGATTGGACTATGGATACTATATAAGAAGAAATGGGAGGTCATGGGAGGTCAGTGATTTGAAGAATCAAAAAATTATTAAGCTATTAATATCATCCCTTCAGAAACTTAGTAGGATAATGCAGCTCAAGCTGTATCTTAATAGGTTCTGTGCCTGTGTGGAAAGACCAGGTATTAAAAAGTAGGAAATGAACAGAACACCAAAAAATAATATAGCAGTTTTAGAGTCATATTTGAAATGCTTTGCATTTATATAATACTCTCATGTTTTTCAAATCACTTTCAAAGATCTGTTTCTTATGTTATATTCTCAAATATATTATGGCCAGAGATAACAGCTTTATCAAAGTCTCAGAAGAGTGCTAGAAGTCTTAAAAGAATCAAGTTATTATTAGACATTTTCTACATTATAAAACATTTTAATGCTTATAAAACATTTAAACTATCCAGTTATCACTTGAAATAAAGTTATACTATTGTATGTTTAGCTAAATATGGTTTCTTATACAATTATTTATCTTTTCCTTTCAAAATTAATAAATTAGTTTTTCAACAAAACCCATAAATAGTTAATGTCACCACAGAAATGTGTACCCTCATTAAATTCAGATAATAGTAGTGATAGTATCACATTTAACATTTCTATGGAGATTCATGGAATGGGTCTTAAACTGTCGAACTTGGGTATCTTACAGATTTGGTTTTTTCCTCAGATAAAGCTTTGTCAGGTAGATTAAATCATGTAGTTCTGGCCATTGGGCAGACTCTACAGAATCCTTTAGGTACCCACAAAGGAACCATACTATGAAAAGTCACTAGCCTTATTCTCCACATTTCCCCAGCTTCATACCTTTGCCCACTCTTCACTGTATTCCTTTCACCTAAAATGCTCATTCCCTCCTATTCCGTTTTGTTTTAATAAACTCTACCTGCCCTAAGGAAGATTCAGAGTGCATGTCCTGTAGGACATTTTTTCTAATTCTCCTCATGTTAGATGAAGTTCTCCTACTTAGATTGCTTTGTGTCACTATTTTTTCTCTGCACATACTATTTTGTTCTGGTTATCTGAGCATATGTTGTCTTACTTACTAAATAAGCTTCCAGGCAACAAGCTTCTATGTAGCTGTAGAAAGCTCCTAGATGAATTTTTGCACATCAAAGATACTTTTGAACAAAGCTCTGTTAATTAAATTAGATGTACCAAGAACCAACCCGGGTTAGGGAACCTGAAGAAGGACAGCCAGTAAAAGACCTCTTCTAGAGGAGGGGACCCAGGTGCAGGGCTGTTATTGCCCCTCCTCAGGAACTCCAGGCAGTTCCCAAAAATTCTTGGGAAGCAATTAGGTTTGAGAATTGAGTTTCCTTCCTTCAATCACTGCTCTCAAAAGGCTCTAGTCCTGAAAGATTGTCTTTATTTCAAACTCTCAGAGAAGACTCTAGAAGCCTTTTTGACTTCCTCAGGGGTCAGTAATACCAGTATAAACAAAGTGTAACTCAGAGTGGTACAGAGGATTGGTGGGAAATGCTTGTTGTTTTACAAGAGATTTTAATTTAGTAACCTGTAACTCTATGATTATTGGTGGTAGTATTATTATCAACCTGGCATGCCTTTACTACTAAATTTATTTGGGTATTTTCTTACACTGTCTCCTAAATTGGAGTCTCAAGGCCACCTTCTCCCAGTACTCTCCCTCTTCTCATACTCGCCTCCCCTCTGACTTCTTCCGGTCCTCACACTCACCCTTCTCTCCCTGTGCACGTACACATGGTGATACAGCTCACCTCAAATAAAGGAAGTGGCTTGGCTTCAGGATCCCCCCTTTCTTCTTGCCTCTCTTTTAGCAACTGGGGTCCCAAAGTTACTGACACTGTTTCTGGTTATCTTCTATGCTTCACCATTTCCAGTATCCTCCTTTGCTTCTATCCAAATTTGATTTCATTCCATCAGGACCTTGTTCTCAGCTTCCTGTTGTAGTAACTAGCTCTCTAACAAATGAATACAGAGTTTTTTGATGAGTGGTAGCATATTAATTTTTTAAAAGTTTAAAAGTTAGCCACCTCTTATTATTATTTACTTGACAACACTTACTCATTTTTACTCTGGTCATCAAAATATAATATTTGAAAAATTTTATGTAGGCCAAAATAGTAACTCAACACCTAGCCAATTTCCTGACACATAGGTAGACTAACTCAATCAAAATATTTATTGAATGAATGAATGAAAGAATGAATGTGTGTTCAAATAGTGACTGTGCTTAGCTTCCTAGTGGGATAAAATAAAAGCAAGATATTGATGCAAGAATATTTTTAAACAAATGAAATTTGCAGTATCCTGGTTGACCTTCCTTATAAATGTCCAGCTAGGCCTACTCTCATATTCCAAGAAGGCAAAACAGATACCCCACCTAGTTACCACTCGCACTTTTGTGATAATTATTTCTACCAACAGAGACTTTGTCATTACCATTTATTTTAAAAAGGTTGAATTGGATTTACAACTTCTTGCTCTAGATGAGATGCAAGAAAGAAGAAATCTGGTCACCCTCCACCCTTCCCCAACTACTCTCATGATCTTCCTCATCTCCCTGTCTAGTCATTACCACCATCACTCCTAAGCCTCGGAGACACCTCTAACATTTTAGAGAAACCAAGGAAAAGAAATGTGGGGTTACAGTAGCTGCCTAAGTCTTCTTTTATAGCAAACTATTCTTGAAACTTAAGAGAAAAGGAGGAAATCTGAAGAGCACTTTTTCACACAAATTATCTCCCGACTTTTTGTGTCTTCTCTCACACATACACATACAGATTTGGTCTGAAGAAAGGCTTAAGAAAGCCATCTTCTCTTAGCATTGGGGAAAAACAAAATAAAGAATTGTTTAGTTGTCTAGAACTCTCTTAAATTTGCCATGATGTATATGAAACCCTGATTGATTTGCTGTCTTGGCATGATGTCAGAGAGCTACAGGAGCCATGGTGATGGTACTCAGACCCTCAATGCTCACACAACCCCCTCCCACTTTTTTTAAGGCTGAAAAGATGAAGAGAAAATAAGGGAAATGGTGCAAAGACAGTAACATTCTCCATCTGCAAAAATAAAATTTAAAAAATAGACTTTTGCATCACTGGAAACTGAGGCTTCCCAAATTTTAAAAGGCGTACACCTGCAAATGCTTCTGTTCATCTTGTCTGCCAAGAATTAACAATCTTCAGTCTTGTTCTGAATGTCCGACCTTTCTATCCCGCTTGAAACAGATGCTATTTCCATGCCAGTCACAACCACCTGTTGCCACCATGTGTCGTGTTGAATCACATATATGTAATGCCATTTCACCATCTTTTCTCCATCCCTCATTTTACCCAAGCATGTAGTATGCTATTATTCTGCTACTGTATACACTTTGTATACATTTCTGTTCTTCCTTGCAAGATTGTGAATGCTTCGGCCACTCCAATCGATGCAGTTATATCGATCTGCTAAATACAGTCATTTGCGTGAGCTGTAAACACAACACTAGAGGGCAGCACTGTGAGTTATGCAGGCTGGGCTACTTCAGAAATGCTTCTGCACAACTGGACGATGAGAATGTGTGCATAGGTCAGTTCCATTACAATTTCAGCTATTGTTCTGTGCCTTTTGAGCTACGGGGAGATATTTAGGGTGGAGAGGCTGGTGATATGCACCGTGGTTGAACCAGAATGAACCTTCTCAATGGAGCCAATATCCTTGTGGTGGACTTAAAATTTACTTGTATTGGTTGAAATCATAGTTGGGGGATATACTTTGAATACTTATGTTATTGCTTTAAATATGATGATCTCAGAAATCATGTTAAAGAAATTAAGAATTTTCTTTCTTCCTGTTTTTTGTTTTTGTATGAAATTTTAAAACCTGATGATTCTGAACTGATCTTATAGCCTTAAATTATACATTCAACTTTCAAAATAGAAACTCATTATACAGGATTTAATTATAGATATGAAAAAGTGGGGTACAGACTCTTGCATATAATTGGCGATCACTGAGTATTGATAGATTGAAAATGTTGCTATTTGAAATTGAAAATAACTAGCAACTGGAAATGTAAAAGTTTGTCTGACTTCTTCATCCATAGCAATGAAATTCCATTTATTGAATTTTCCTACAGCTCCCAAAAAGGAGGAGTAGTTTCTCAAATGTATTCTAGGCAATTAATTACCTTAGCCCTGGAAAACTGCGTCCGCAGAGGTGCCTGAGCACTTTCCCTTTCCTCCCCACCAATGACTGCTGCTCTTGGCATCTAGGGAGGACCAGGCGCCTTTCCCACCCAGAAAATCTACCTTTTACGTAGTGAAACTTGTCTTTAAGAATGTGGGGACGCCAATGGAAAAATAAGAAAAAATAAATGGAATTTCACTTCATAATTCACGCTTAAGCAGTGCATATATTTGAAATGCTGAAAAATATATGTGTAGCCATTATCACACCAGTAGGTAGCTATATAGGCACCCAATTTTAAAGGTAGACTTTTTCACATTGAGGTACGTTCAATAGGATACACAAGCTGAAAAATGACAAGCAATCTTTTTATCAAGAAAAGAAATCCAATCCGTCAATCCGTATTTCTGTGACCATTGTCATCTGATTGGATCGTCAAGATCCGAGTGTCACAAAAAATAGCTGTAGAGTTGTTTTTAATCAAATTGGGCCAAGTATATATAATACTGTTGGTGTCTACAGTACTTTCTATATTTCAGAGCATCTCCTTATTTATATTTTGTCAATTAGGAGAGAAAGTACTGGACTTAGAGGCCAGAAAGCTAGGCTCAAATTTCAGTTTGCTATCTCATAGTTGTGTGCCATAGGTAAGTCATTTGAGCCTTCTAGTTGGGTGAGGATCAAATGGGATGCACAGGAAACGCTTAGTCAACTGTGAACCGGCTTGCAGATATCTTGTTTTGTTTTTACTTAATCCTCATTAACAAAACAGTGGGGTAAGTATTACACTAATTATTTCCCCTATCTTGTCATTGAGAAGAGTAAGGAAGATTGACCCAAATCTTACAGCAAAGGGTTTCTGACTTCAAAGCTTAAACACTTTCTCTCAACCACTGACACAATTAGCAAAGCTAAGCTTGTCAAACTTTTACGTATGGTATGCGTTTTGAATAACAGCAGCAATTCCACTCTGAGTTTATGAACAGAAGTTCAATTGTCTTCATAACACTTGGGTTACAAAGACTTGAGTATATTAATAAAAACCAAAAGACATGTAGTTGTCTAAATTTTGAATGCAGAGTACATTTTACTGAATGTCATTTGTAAAAATATATAAATGTCATGCTATAAATAGGTAAACAACAAAAAAGCTAAAATAAATAGGAACACAGGATAAAAAACCTAACCATTTTTACAAAATACATAAGATTAAAATGTTTTATAATATTTAATATTATTTTAAATCAATCTAATAAAGGCCTTAGAAGGAAAGATTTTATTCCATAAAATTTCTCTTATCAGGTAACTTAACAATATCACAGTATATTTTATTTAGAGTATTTTATTATTAGGAAGTTTGGCCTTTTTTCCAGTTCTGAGGTAAACTGTGAAATCCAAATCTGCTTCTTTCTATCCGGTTTTAAGAGGTATAGTTCAGTTGTGAATCCTTATTTGATTATCCACAGACTAGAAAACAGTCCATTCAGTGTCTGCCTTTTAAATCACATAAACTAAGAAGAAGAAATATGAAAAACAATATCAATTTTTAATTTATTTTTACTTTTAAAAATCAAGAAGAATTTTCTTCTCCATTTCTAGAAAGCTTATTAATTAAAATTATAAACTTTTGGAAAATTCCATTTTATTGAGCTAAACCTGTTTCTCTTTAGGATTTTATACTTGAAACCAAACAAAGTACTTGGTGAACACAAAGGGGTACATTCTTAGGTACTATTAAAGTTAGCTACATTAGGCCAGACGCAATGGCTCATGCCTGTAATTCCAGCACTTTAGAAGGCCCGGGCAGGTGGATCACTTAACATCAGGAGTTTGAGACCAACCTGGCAAACATGGTGAAACCACATCTCTACTGAAAGAAATAAAAAATTAGCTGAGTGTGGTGGCCTGTGCCTGTAATCCCAGCTACTCAGAAGGCTGAGGCAGGAGAATCACTTGAATTTGAGAGGTGGAGGTTGCAATGAGCTGAGAATAGCGCCACTGCACTCCAGCCTGGGCTACAGAGTGAGACTCCATCTCAAGAAATAAAATAAAATAAAATAAAATAAAATAAAATAAAATAAAATAAAAGGTAATATTAGCTACATTATTCCCTCACCCACCCTAATTTCCTAAATTATTGCCCTTTTCTAAAGGAGAAAATTGTGTTTAAAGAATGAATTGAAAAATCTGGCTAGCTGGTAGGTACTAAGGTCTATCTTTTATCTGTAGTGCTTATATGCATAAAATGAATTAATAACAATTTCCTTAAAAAGCTGTAGATTTCACTTACGCTGCTTGAGGCTCTGAGGGCAGTGATACTGGGGCTGCCTGTGCACAATGCTAGAGTTTGCCCTCTCAGGGCCGTTGGAAGCCTGTGGCTCCATTGCTAAGGTTTGCCCTATGAGACTATTTCCACAATTAAGATTCCTAAAGGACTTGAGGCAGGACTGAGTATTAAATTTGAAAGGATACATCAGAAGTAATTGAGAGTTAATTTTAATACCATTTTGTATAGCAAGCACTAATGAAAATGAAGGGATATTTACCCCATTCACTTTCACAGAATAAGGCACTAATCCTGGAAAGTTTGAACTTCATCTAAGTCTTATCTACATTAAAAATAAAAAAAAAAAAGAACCCTTTGCCAATTCTTTAACAACTGACAATAAAATTCACCACCCTTGCTGTGAAGGAACAATTCATATCTTTGACAAAATGTAGGCTCTGTGTAATGAAATAGATATTGTAAAATACTTGCATCATTTTATATTATGGCAAATATAAAATGCAACAAGCTATTCCATGTTGCCACCGTGATTGCTGCTTGGTAATTACTGGTGAATTTGCCCATTTCTTGTACAAATTCCAAACACAGCCATATCTCCAAAGATACATGTAATTACCCTGTGATGACGCAGCAATTACATGAAGATGACATCCTTGCATGCTTCTGTTTCATGTAAACTTGAGCATTAAGCAGGAAGCTAGAGGATATATGGTTTGTGACCTTGAGTAATCACTGTTAATATTCCTGCTAACAAGCTTTGCATCACAATGAAACAGAGTTCAGCTGCTGCTGCTAAGCATTTCTTAAAATTATGATGTATTATTTTTAATTCCCCTTTGAAACCCACGATCAGGTAATCAGAAGTACCTTTCATAGAATAAGGTGAACATAAGACACTTTTAATACCTATAAATCAATTCTAGTATAACTTTTAAATCAATCCCCCCCAGGTATTTGATGTTGCTTTGTAATCTAACAGTCCTGATGTTCTTCCTAATTTCATGGAATAAAACATGATCCTCCGAAGCTCTTTGCGTTACTCCAGCATCCACCATTGACCGTCATTCCATAAATGATACTTTTTAAAAACTGAATTATTTGTTATATAAGGTGAAGAGAAGGTCACACCCCTTCTTGTCCTTTATTTTCATGACTGCGAAACATTATACTTACCCACATTTTCCTATGACAATGACTGGGAATATATTATGGTTTAAATGTTCTACTGTATTGTTTAATTTTGTTTACATGTTTTGCCTCTAAAACCTTATATTAATGAATGGTCATGGGCTAATTGACTGGAGGAGTATGTGAATTAACGTTGGCCAGATGTAACTCTGCTTACTGGCTTACAAAATGTTGGTGATTCATTGTCAACTTACACACTTTAAACAGTGAAAAAAAATTACAGTTTCAATATTGGTACAAATTTATAATGTACCTGTGTACAGACAAACATTAAAAGCTTTCACAAAATTAGTATTTTAAAATATTTTTAATCAGCTTCCATATACACATGCATATTAAAATAGAAAATGTTAATTTAAAACAAAACTCTAGTTATTAAGTACAAACTAAGCCAGGCAGGGAGAGAGCATTTTAGAGTTGATTAAGTTTTATTTTTACCTACGTATATAACTATTCATCATATAAATGTTTGTTTTATAAGAATGCTGAACTCGAAACCTGACTTAATTAGCATAAAATAAATCATAATTCTAAGGTACTCCGCATTTATTTGAAGAATATCTAGTTAGTGTCTGTGATAAAAACTTAGATTCAAACCCCTGGACCCATCTATAAGGCTAAACCCTGAATCCCTATAGCAAATCTAATATGCTAAACTTGATTATATTAAACTAAATTTTCAAGACTTCTCTTGGTTAGTTGGATGGTATAGTTTTGTTTGGTTTTTAGTGAGGGAACTGCTTAATGTGCCCATTTTTAAATAATGGAAACTGAGAGGCACAATAACTTCCCCCAAATTATTGGAAGAGTAATGAGGAAAGGAACTTGAGCTCACAGTACCCAAAAGCTGCAAGCTACCTGCACTGTCTTTCCAGCTAATAGAAGCCTAAAGGATATCCATTTCTGGTTCAAGCTTTAAGCAAGATAGAGCTTCAGAAGTAAAAATATCCCATATAAGAATGTGTGAGGAATCAAGAAAACACTCTATTTGCCTTTTATTTTGCAAAGCTATATTGTCCTGCCAGCAGACATGATAATGAAAAATATATATCTTAAATTATAACTATGTTGAAATTGATTTATTATTACAAAGTTTATTTTTCTTTCATGATTGTTAATCTGGGCTGCATAAAAGCTGCACTAATATGCCTAGCAAATACAACATCTAAAGGCTCATCACAAAATGGTATATACGTGAATAAGTTAAGGTGCTGTCCCAAATCATAAAGTAAAACTACCTTTGAATGAGCAAAATGCATTCATGTTGTACTTTTAAAATGTTCAGCAGTTCTCAAATAGTGAGTGCAATGGCTAAGCCCATTTGAATAATTCAAAACACATTTTACACTGATGGCATATTGATTTATCCTTGATATACAAACTTCTCATGGTATTTATTAAACCATCTAAAAATACCCTAACAAATGGAATCTTCATTACGATCTGTTACCAGTGAAAAGCATGCCTTATTTCCTTGGAAGTTTTCAGTTGATTTCCTCTCATATCATAAAAATGATATCATGGAAGGCTAAGCAAATAAACAAATGATCGTGAAATAGCCATATTTGCCAAAGCATTTCATTAATGGACATCTTTCTTTAAGTAAGTGATGCATTTAAGTACATGACGCTCCTGTGTTGATAACCTATCAGCCATGCAGACTTGTCTCCAGCCTGTGTGTTGTCTTGTTTCTACAGAGTGTTATTGTAACCCTTTGGGCTCAATCCATGATCGTTGTAATGGCTCAGGATTTTGTGAGTGTAAGACTGGAACAACAGGGCCTAAGTGTGATGAGTGTCTGCCGGGAAATTCCTGGCACTACGGCTGTCAACGTAAGTAACTCTGGGAGCTGCCCTCTGCCTGCTGCAGCATGGCTGATTCTGCTTGGCTAGGCCGGTGTGTGCAGCTTCTCAGAGCAGAAAAAGATCCAAACCGCTGACAAGTTTTAAAAGCTACTTAATGCTGCGGCCAATGTATGGGAGAGCAATCCATCAGCTGTCCAGCTGGCTTTTTTGAAGCCCATCTTCATCCCCCTCAGTTAGCTGGAGCAACTTATATTGAAATATTGTATGGAGATCCATATACCTGGCCAGACCATAAATTAAGTGGCACAATAGGGACCCAGCTTGGAAATCCTCACCGCAGAATGAAGGGTGATGTGCATGTGGTTAATATATTTCTTGAAGTGAAAGTTACCCTGGAGCTCCAGAGTTCATAAATTAAATGATATCTACATAACTTATTACTACCCTTGCTATCATACCCATCTCTGAATCTTAACCGAAAACCGAAAGGTAATAAATCTAAGGAATGTTTAAACATGGGGTAAAATAAATGACAAAAAACAATATTGATTTTAAACCTCTGAGGTTAGGCACTATGCGGGGAGCTGTGGACAAATGTCATTTGGTTCAGCCCCATTTCTCTTGAGATTACCAGGTCTTCAAAGCTTGTCAAGACAGGTGGCATGTCAGTGTGTACAAGGAACATGAATTTTAAAATCAAGGCAGAAGGTTCCTTCTGTCGTTTATAACCTTTTCTGCTTTTGAATTCTGAACTAACTTTCCATGTCATCTATACATAGGTAGTTTGCTAATATTAGAGAACCACAAGACATATCCTGTGTAACAGTGTGATTCAATAGAAAATCAAGCTAGCCACATATGTAATTTGAGATGCTTTTGTTTTCCACATTAAAAAAGTAAAAAAGAAATAAGAGAAATAATTTTAATAACTATTATATTTAGCTCAAATTATATGATACTATTTTTCAACATATAACTACTATCAAAATTATTAAGGCTATATTTTTCATGTTTTTTATTGTCTTTGAAGTCAGATGTGCATTTTATACTTGCAGAAAATGTCAGTGAGGGCTGGCCATATTGTAAGGCTTAATGGCCACATGTGTCTACCATATTGGACAGCACAGCCCCAGAGTTATTTTTGCTTACTTTTCACTTGAAACAAATGTCAGCATGCAAGAATCATCTAAAGCCAATTTCTATAGAAAACTATATATTATTTATATAATGCAGTAGTAATAGCAACTTTTATATTCTATCAAATAAATTCTGTATGATGAATTCTATAATAATAACTATGCAACTCTATTTTCTATAGAATATTATAGAATGTTCTATCTGTTACTTATGGAATACATAGTTATCCGGCAGCCATACTTCTAAGTAATGTAAATCTAAAATGAAATGCCATGGGCAGCAATGAGTTCTGGCAATAAGGTGAAATTTTGGCATTGAGCAGGCCAAGGTTAGAATGGGATCCAGGAACTGGGGACTAAGGTCTCCATCCTTGCTGGAGAGGAACACTGAAAAACAGTCAAATAGTCAGAAGTCAGGCTGCACACCTGCACATAAGGCCTAGATAAAGCCATGGTTTAAAAGTTTTGCGTGCTATTGTTTTCCAGAAAGTGCTAGTCCTTAGTGCCTGGGAGAGTTGGTGGATCCCAGCAACCATGTCAAGTATCAGGGCTCAGAGGGAAGCTATCAATCATGGCACAGCTAGACCTCAAGGCCTAGAGCAAGCCAATAGTCAGGAGAGGAGAAGGGCAATAGGCAAAGGAAAAATCAAAACCAGCACCAAGACTCAAGGCATAAAGAATAAGGAGACTTTGTAATTAAGACACACTTCTCAAAGAGATCTCAAATAAAGCTCCTGAGGAAGCAGGACCTAAAGAATGGGTTGCTGGAGTGTACTCAGCGTAAGACTTGGGAGAGGAAAATAAATAAATCCTGCTTTGGGAAAATGCATCTCAAAATGGACCTAACCCAATTTTTCTATATTAATTATCGGAGTAATGTAAAAGATATGATATTGTCACCAACGTTTCCCTTCTGGAATCAAAAGACTGAATTTAAGCCTTATCCTACCACATACAAATCATAAAACCCTCTGTGCCTCAGTTCCAGAACCTCACATATTTGTTACATAGATCACTGAGATGATGAGAGAAAATGCATTTATTCTTTTGAGTATGTGTTGAGTACCTATCATGACTCAGGTACTGGGCTAATGGTAGGGCACAGAAAGATGAAAAGAGGGAGGACATGTGGACATGGAATTCACCTCCAAGTGAGAGGCCTAACAATTATGATAGAAGGTAATCAGAGCTCAATAAGAGGAATGTACATGTTATTTATTGGTGAAGTCCAACATGGGGAGTAAGGCTTCCCAGAGAAGTGACACGTAGTTAAGCACTAAAGGATCAGTGGAGCTTTCCAGGATAGGAATCTTGCTTGGGTAAAGGTGATTGAGATAACACACTGTGTTCCAGAACGTGTGTGTGTGTGTGTGTGTGTGTGTATGTGTGTGAGCATGCACATATGTTGGGAGTAAGGGGAGATGTTAAACAGCATCCAGAGACTAGATTATGTGGTTTCATGAATCCTAAACTAAGACATTTTATGTTGTCAGGGAAGAAAATGGGAATCATCATATGAAGAAGATATGGGTTCCATCATATGGTTTTAAGCAGAGAAATGAAAGGAACAGATTTGTTTTTAAAAAGATTATTCTAGCTACTAAGTAAAGAAAGGAATGGAATGGGTTGAAATTAGATTTGATATATAAATTTAACATCATCCAAACGCACCTTTGAGAACATAGGAGATTTTTCTCACTCTGAAATCTTTCTTCCTTCTCTTAGACCCGCCCACATAGGGCTGGTATTCTGTGTTAAAATATAGAAATTCTTCTGTCAGTTAGTAAATGGCTACTTCACCAAGATTCTGAAGTGCCTTCCCCTGGGATCTCTTGGGCTGTCACCAAGGATCAGCAATAACAGGGTAACACGTGTCACAGTAGCATGCCACTAGCACCTGCTCCAGGATTATAGTTAATGTACATTCTGATTAGTTGGTGCTGGAAGGTTGATATGTACTTTTTTTTCATTTGGTTCCTGTCCTCACACACATGAATGCACTCAAAAATGCCCCTCGAGTGCATCCCTGTCTCCCTTTCCTCTCTCCCACTGCTCACCCCGACTTCCACTTGCCCTGAGTTGAACCCATCCTTGGATTTGGCCACAGTATTAATAGAAGAGCTATTAACCTGGCAACACGAAATCAATGCCAAGCAGAAAACCAGTGGGAGAGTAGGGCTGACAGTGGTATTGCAGTGATGAGCTGAAAGTAAGCAGACATTTAGGTAGGCACTGCCAGGGAAGCAGTAGGAGATATCAAGAAGAGTCCAAGGGATCCAGGCCCAAGGTTCCAGTCCTCCCAGAGGATTGTCAAAAGGAGCCATGTGGAATTGTGATCCAAAAGGACTTGGGTTTGGGAACAGAAGATTTAAAAAAGGGATTCAGCAACTGACACTGTTGCCTATATTCTGTGAATAGAAAAAGTGAATATGCTTGAGTAGACTCTGGATTCATACCGACCAGGGTCTGAATTCTATCTCCACTTCTTATGACCTGCAAGACTAAGAGGAAATTACTTGGACCGTCTAAGCCTGGTGTTTCATCTAAAATGGGGTAAAAATATGACCTAACACATATAGTAATTGTGAAGGTTCAAATACAATAACGAATGTGAACCTCATAGTACATAGTAAGCACTCAATTATTACTACTTCCAAACATGTGTTGATATGCCACAGAACTAGACAAGAATTCATGTTCAAAAGCTTTCATGCAATGTTACTGCAGAACTTGCAGCAAATTCGGCCACTATTGAAGAATCAAACTGTTGACCTGGGGGCTTCTAAAAAGCCTCCTGGTTAGAGACAAGACTGATTCAAGAGAGTGAAGCAAAGCTGACCCCAAAGCAATTATGGGGTTTGAGCTAGGAACATTTTAAAAACTCCAGGCTCACCAGCAAACTTTCTGCTTGAAAGGCCACCAATTATGTACTGTGTAAATGTAGGCAAGTCTCTCTGAATTAAAAGGTGAAACACTTATAAACCACTAGAATGAATGGTCTTTAGAGAGCACAGAACAAATAACCTAGGAAAGAAAACAGAAATAATAAGATTTTAAGGAGGCCTGGCAGAATCAAAATTAGTGTTGAGGTTGCCCAATAGAAAAATGAGACATTGGAAAGAAAGAAAAAATGTTTTAAATGACCCTTTTGAAATCAGAGAAGAGGCAATAGCTAGGTTCCAGAGAATAAAATTGAACCTTCTACATAGGAAGCAGCATTCCATGCTTTATATAAAATATGAAGGGTTAACATGTATTGGGAAGTAACTAAATAGTTGTTATCAGCACCAAAGAAACTGGACGTAAAGGAGATTTGTGACTTTTCAGTTTGGGAGAGTGGAAATAGCCACTTGTAGAACTAATGTGACTGGTGAGAAGATATGTTGTCTTCCTGGAGGATGTATGTAAGACACATGGGAATATCCTGCAGGGTTTATTAAAGCCACCGATTGTTAACTTGAGTGAATACTAATGGTACCTTCAGAAGAATTCATAGTCTGCTTATTTAAGTGAAAGTCAAAAGATTTGGTGATATCAGTTAAATGTTATGATTTTGGAAGATACCAGAGCTGTAGGAAATAAAAACCAAAGTACCATAGCAAGGGGAAGACAGATCACATCCTTCTCTCACCACAAGTGGGAAAGGCTTTCCATTTTTAAGGAACCATATGAATAGATTGGGTCCGCACATGTAATCTCGGATCATCTCTCCTTTTCAAGATCTTTAATGTAGTCACATCTATAAAATCTCTTTTGCCAAGTGAGGTAAGAGGTTCTGGGGATTAGGATGTAGACATCTTTCAGAACACATTATATTGTGCTTATCATAATAATAATCAAGAATGTCAACATTTCATGCCAGAGATAAATATGCAGGTGTTATGAAGACGG